TAGAAATGTCTCAAGCTTATCCCTTATAGCAGAGTAACACTCTATTGTGTAAAAAAACACATCTTCTTTATCCATTCATTGGTTGGTGGGCATCAAAATACTGCTGTTTCAAACAAGTACTCACTATGAAAAGCTTTTAGCCATAGTTTACATTCTTTTTTGGTACTAAGTCTTCAAAACCTACTGTGTGCTGTGTATGCTTACAGCTTTTCTCGTTTTGGGCTAACCACGCTTCAGTGCTCAGTAGCTTCCCATGGCTCTCAGCCCCTCTGAGTGTCCTCTGAATATATGAGGGCGAGGGCAGGAAACCTTCAGTCACATTGTTACTGATGGGGTCACTGAGGGTGGCCCTGAGCTGATCTTGCTTCATAGTCCTGCTGGTTACTAGGACGATCTGAGTTCCTGCCTAGACTTGTCTGGATTATACTAGTCTAGATCCAGAAGAAACTGAGGGTCCAGGTGAAGCGAGTGTCTAGATTTATTATATTCATAGTTGCCCTTCTGCTGATTCAGAAAGCAGAATTAACCTCAGAGTTTTGGGGTGGTAGCTGCCAGTAAAGTAGAAAGAGACTCAGGCAGCTTCCGCCCTTGTCTGATAATAAGGAATTCTGTTAAAGCAGGGCAGACTTAGGAACTAAGTAAGCATTCTGTTAATTGTGCTAATTCCTAGAACCTGTGCAGCTTAGTTTGCACTAAAACTAGAATGTCAAGACTTTATTGACTGTCCTGTGGATTCTGGAGCCAACTACATTGCCAGTAAGCGGTGCGACCTTGGGCAGCGTGGCCTTCTCTGCCTGTTTCCTTTATCTGTAGAATGCTGATAAGCACAATTGCTATTTCACAGACAGTATCTTAAGATTGAGTTAGTATGTGTGCGATTCTTAGGTTATGTATATAGTGCATAAGTGCTGTGCTCACACGTGTGTAGTGTTGGGGCTTCTCACCGCTTCACATTGGCAAGTAGTGGGTCAGGAGGCCCGTGTGTGCTCCACACAGGATGAGTGGGGCCAGGAAGGAAGGGCACCCTTTGTGGAATGCACCGAGTTTCGAGCAGACTCCCCCAGGGTCTCGGAGGGCATCAGAAAGGTGCGAGAGTGTCGCTGTATGGTGGGAGAAGTCCCCAAGTTAGCCTGGACAGGCGAGAGGAGAGTGTGTACCAGGTGAGATCTGGCCCCGGCGCAACTCTCCCGCCCTCTAAGAACCCTCGGGATGGCATAGGTGCCACCTGGATGAGCCCAGCTGCTCTTCTCCAGACCCTTCATCTCTCACACCCACGCGGTCCTCTTCGCCCTGGGAAGTAGCGAAGTCACAGGTTTTGGGGGTTAGGATGTAGACATCTTTGGGGGACTGTAATTCGCCCTGCTGCAGCTCTGTGACACTCTGCAGCCAGTGCCAAGAAGAAAAGTGCTGGGATCTGTGTGCACTGACACAAGGAGGCCTCTGATGCAGAACGGGGATTCCTGTTCAGTGAAAACAAGGAAGTTGTAAAACAGAGTGGTGTGGTGCCTTCTCTTGTGTTTTGTTTTAACAAGGACTGTTTCTATACATGTAGGACGATAGAAGAATGCACACTACACATGATACACAGAAGGTAGGGTCTGACTTTGAACTATATATTTCTTGTATACAATGAGCACATATTTGTTTACCCTTGTATTTATTTATTTATTATTTTTGGTACTGGGGATTGAACTCAGGTCCTTGTGCCTGCACAGCAGGCGGCAAAACCACTGAGCTAAATCCCTGGCCCTGTTTACTCTTATTTTTATAAAAATACAAGCCTTATGACAAAGATCCATGGTCTTTTGTGTCATTTTCCCCCTACTCCAAACCCTTTTTCTAAATCTTTTCACTGCTCTGATTCTTGATCAGATTGTATAAATCTTTTGATTCTTTGAATCTTAGTTTTTTCCTAGAATTTCCCTCCATATTTCTAAATAACAAGATTATGCACGATCTTGATTACTTTCCCATTTTAGGTATCTTTTGACTTTACTTATGAAGATGTCACTTGGGCTCTGTTAAACCCCTCCTGTTTCTTC